AACTCGGCGACTCAGCGACTCGACGGCTCGATGACAAGGCTAGGTTGGTGGAGGAAAACTAACTTCGATCGTTGCTTATTGGTTCAGCGGAGAGGAGAATTGAGTTGCTTGTTCGTTGCTTTGGAGTTACTTCGTTGAATTCGTCACTAAAGATGTCAGACAATGCGAGGAAACCATCTGCTCGTGAGAGGAGAGCTGCCGAGGCCAGGACAGATTTGAACCCGAGAGTGTCTCAACAAGCTAGACCGTTGACGTCAGTCCCCAGAGCTGGCACTGCTGGAACCCTTGCACCTAGGCCGCGTCGTCCTGAGTTAGAGCGAAATGTTGTTGTCATCACCGATCGTCGATCTGAATCATCGCATAGGCGTCACGATGACATGAGGGGAAGGGATGATCACTCAGGAGCAAATCGTATGCRTTYGCGAGAAGAGAMGGAGAAAGGCAGTGTTGGCAATGAGGACTTGAACAGATCGAGGCACGCTTCAACTCCTCGGTGTAATCGTGACGACTTCCACTATTCTTTTTGGTACGAAGGAGTCCTTTGGTGATGATGCGCGGGCGGCGTCGCATTTGTCCCAGATTGTCTTCCCAGGCACTGAGTTTCCYCCTCHAGGAKAGATGTCGAAGAAGAGATCTTACTCAAGYATGGCCTTCGATTGTATGACGGTACGACTTCGTGGCAACTCTCGTGAGATAGCGATTTGCCTTTTCCTTCTTCCTGATCTTGTAACTTGTTTTCCGTGATCTGTTCCTTGGTTTGGCAGTTCCTTTCTTCGCTTAACAAGCTCGCGATCGACTATGAGGTGACTGTGCGCTCGCTGACTCGTTAGCTTGCAAATGTTCAGAAGGCTTGTGACGATCATAAGAAACAGAAAAGGGATGCAGAGGATCGCGTTGCTACTCTCCAAGCTGCTATGAAGGAAACCGAAGATAGACGTCGCGAGATGGATGGAACGTTCACGGAGTCTGAATCCGAGAGGAAGCGCCTTTAGAAGGAAGTCTGTGACCTTACCACCCGATTAGATGTTGCTGCCAAGCTTCAAGATACGGCTGTGCAGCGGGCTGTAGAAGAAGCGAAGCGCRAGCTGGTGGCAAGGTACGAGGCGAAGATCGATCGCGCCAAAGAGAAGATCAAAATGATCAATGACCARTCGAGGATCGATATAATTGATCTTGCTGAAGTCCGGAGTAACATTGAGTTCATAAAGCTGCTTCAGAGTGACAAGGC